GCAGAATTCTGAATGGAGAAACAAACTGGCAGCAAGGTTGCCAGCTAACATCTCTTTTGAGCAATCAGGATGAAGGTGGCTACAGAACAACTCAAAGTGGTGGGCGTGAATGAGAAGGAAGAACTCTGAAGCCTGAGTCAGTACCAACCTGATACTTCACCATGTGACTGTCTGGGCAGTGAAACGTGCCTTAAAGCTGCTCTAAAGAGATACGTGAAGATCCTGATGGCTTCAGTGAAATCAAACTGGTTGAGTCTCCGTCTAGAATGAGGGGTGAGCAAAGGGTCCAGTTATTGGCCCAGTTATTCAGGCTGGGGGAACCATTCACTCCTTCTGAGGTGAATCTTAAAAATGAAGGCTTGGTGGATCCCAGATGGCAAGAGAGCTTTTAACTATTTTAATCACCTAGGATGTGTGGTGGCGGTTTTTCTTTTTTTTATGCAAATCCTCGTGTGTTTGTCTCCAAGCCTTTGGTCCCTTCCATGCTTCCTAGCTGCAAATAAGCTGTCCAGGGAATAAATATCCAGATTTCTCAGAAGCTTCAGAAATGACAACTGTTTTCTGCTCAGAGTCTACACTAGTTCCCAGTTTGGTCTGGGTAACAGTGTGCTATTTCAATACATGGGCTGGCTGCAGGCTGGCTGCAAGGTGGCTGTGAGGAAAATGAACAAAGTGCACTCAGACGTTTATAAGACAGCTCTTTTTAGATTCAATGTCCCTGCTGGGGGAACAGTCCAGTTTAACAGAAGCAAAGGAATCTTGCTGTCCTTTGCAAAGGAACCTTGCCTACAACCTTGTAAATTCTCTTTAGAGTTATTGGCAGATTTTTCAAACATCACTCCCTTCTTCCTTCCCTCATCTAAACTTGAAGATAGTAAGAGAAGGGAAATTTACTGTAGGCCATAGTAAGGTCTTCCAGAGGTCTATTACTGCATTAAAAATCTGCATCTTATTTCCAGCCTGACATCTTCAACTTGTAGTCATCAGATAGTCATCAGAACTTGCTGTATTTCAATCTGCCAATATTAACCATTCCCTAGCACTGAAAAGCTAGCTCTGGGTGACAGTGCCTCTATCTCTCATTATTTCCTACAGACATAAATGTGTGACACCCATTCATGTATTAAAATAACTGCAGCAAACATTGGTGCCACAATGTTTCTTAGGAGTGCATTAAATATGGTCAAGTTTCAGACTCAGTCTGCATTGGCAGTATTCCTGTTCTCCTAATCACCTACCTCAACCTATCATCTCAGTAACATTGCTCATCAGTAAGTTGATCACAGGTCAGTTGATGGCAGTGGAGACACAGAAATTTCAGAGGGATGTGGATTAGACTCTTGGCCTCTACCGCAGACACTTTAAGGGCCTACATGCATCCGCTAGAAGCAGTGTGGGTTCTGCAGCTGGTCTGCAGAATCATATGGATCATATGTTTGCTTCAGTACTTTGCTGAACTAAGAAAGCCTGCTCCGAGATAGGTATAGGCTGCACATCACTGCCAGCCTGTGGCGCTCTCAGCCACTGCTGGGAAACCTGTCAAAGCACCTCTCGCTGGAGAATCATGCTTTTACCAGGAGAGTTCGTTTAGCCCCTAGGGTTAGCTCTGCTGGCTGGGTCCTGAGCAGGATGCTCCGACGGTATCAGGCTGTTTCTTTGTGCTGTATCTGTATTTGACACCTGGCACCGGGGCTGGTGTCTCCACAATCTCTTCCAGAAAAGAGCTTTTTCTTCTGCATCCATTTGCCCCTCCTCATGTCAGAGAAGAGATCTTCCACTCCTTTGCTCTCTCCCTCCCTCAAAGGCAAGGGAGGAGAGAAGTCCCAGGGAAGGATTCCCTGGCCACCGGGTGAGGAGAAAGCAGGATTCTTCCAAAGACCTCCTCCATATCTGTAGGAGCAGAGACAAGGGGTGGCAAGAATTCTTTCACTCACCTGCACAACTGCAGGCTGGCAGCTCACCGTGAACGCCTCCCAACACTTGGCACAACGGGAGCTCGCTGCAGAGCATCAGGCTCTTCCTTTCTTTGAGCAACAAGCTGTTTCCCCGGCTGGGCTTTAGAAGCAGCACACCCAGGGCACTCACGGCTTTTGGCTGCCTTTGCTGGGGTCCTTCTGACATTGATAATGCCTTTCAGGAAAGGGAGGCAGAAAGACTCAAGCACAAAGGAGTCCCCAGTTCTGTTTGCAGCTCTGCCAGTAATTATTCTAGGACAGTGACCGAAGGGCAGTCTTCCTTATCTTTAAAGTGTACACGGCAGTAATACTTACCTGAAGTGTAAGTGTGTCAGGATACTTGGAGAGGGGGGATATCTACAAAATAGTGCTGGTATAAACCTTCAGATCCTTTCTGGAGTTCCTCTAAAAATCATGTTTTATCCCTGAAGCTGAAGAAGTTCTAGTCACTAATTACAAATGTTGTAGTTGGTACTCTGTTGGTTCTCTCTACATATCTGACAGTGTAGTAGTTCATCTGAGAGGATCTGCAGATCCAGCATAATGGGATAATAGTTTTGGACAGGAAGTACAGGAAGGACTAGCATTTATAACAAAAGCAAAAACAAAATTAACCCTAAATATGGCCAGCAGCGTTCCTAGGAATTCCCAAATGAATCCTCTTCCTAGCAGACACTCGATTTAAGCCTCAGCAGCAGCTTTCCGACCTTGGAGTCAATGGAGGATAGAGGAATTGCCAGAAGATTAGGAAAAACATCAGAACTTGCAAAAAAACTAGGATAATGGCACATGCTGCCCACAGAGGCTGGGAAACTGCCAGGGCTGGAGACAGGCTTGGTACTTTGACTTTGTGGCTATCAGTCAGGGGTTGCTTATTTGAAAATGGAATCAAAGACACAGCATGGTAGGCAGATGGCCTAGACCCAGTAGAGGTCTCTTCTGCTCTATGTTAGTATGTGCGAAAGGTTCAAGGGTTCCAGGTTCCTTACGACCTTGTTCATGCCCACAAGGCAAGGAGTTTCCTACTAGTGAAACAATGTGTTTGGAATCATGCATCGTGGAAGGGTTTGGGACTGGGCTACGGTGTTCTTTGATGCAAAACAGAAGTCAGACTTACGCTAGTGTTAGTCTTATCACTTCCACCAGAAGAAATACTCCATCGTTTTATAACCTGAACATACACAAAAGAGAAACATTTCTTTCGTTGTTACTTTAACATCTGATATCGGCAGTTTGCCCTCTTGGGGCAAACTGAAGGTGGGACTTAACTTCCAGCCAGATCCATGACGGTAAGTGGCAGAAAAAGAGTTAAGAAAGCCTTTCTTTTTCTTTCTTTTTTTTCTTTTTCCCTTTTTTTCCTGCCTTGAATGTTGCTAAACCAATACCCACTAATGACTTCCCAGTACTGATCTTTGCGAGCTCCCCTTCCTGGATTACATCCAAGAAAAGATTATAACTTGAAAAGGAATCAGTCAATATTGAAAGGCCACCTTCACAGCTTCCTTCCAGCAGTTCAAAGCTCTTTAATGATGACAGTAGCAACTTTAATTCTAGATAGATTCGGATGCTTCTCTGAAATGCCCAAGACATCTCCATCTATAACACTCTCCTGGAAACATACCACAAATGAGCATTAACATGGTACTTAGGCACTTCTGATTTTACACTTGTGTCATAGCAAAATAAAAGAAAAAAAGAGATGAAACTCAGTGAAACACACTGGGATTCTGGACCAACATATACTTCTTTGAGCTGAACTGCTTTGCTAGATTCGCTGTTCCTTTCATTCTGCAACACTGGTCAGCCCACAACAACATCTCGCTATGCACAGTAAAAGTAGGGTCTGCTGGGACCACAGCTCTAGGGCACAACACAGCTATGCTGGGAGATCTGAATGGGGACCAAAGGCTCCACTAGGGCACTGCTTCCACTGAGGACCCAGCTAAACCCCTTACTCAATCACACTCCAAACTCTGGTCTTGTCTCTAAGAGAGTCCTATCAAAATAGGCCCTGAAAGTGCCTCCTTGGATACGCTGCAGGAGAATCTGCACTGGATCTGACTTTGCTTGCAGAAAGATAGAGTGTTAAAAATAGCGGCACCCTGTTCTTCTCAGTGAGGGCAGGCACAGTCCAAATTTCATTTTGTCCTGCCATCCTGACTCTGTTGCTTGATTTTTCCCTTCTGCTGGAGTAGATACAATTCCTCGCAAGCTTTTGGCACTTGCCCAGCAGGCATAACAGGCTGAGATATCACAAAGGTGCCATCAGTCTGCCCTTCCTTATTTGTGTTATTCACATCACTGACTGCACAGGCCCTTGGCATCTGTATCTAGTACCAGATCTGTGCCCTTCTGAAAGGTTGCAAGGTCTTTCCCTCAGTTTGCCACCCTCAAAACCTCTTCCTGCCCTGGAAAACTTCTCCTGCCCAGGAAAGTCACACAGACAGTGAACAGCTACCACAAACATTGTCACTCTACTTTAACCAGCATTCAGTCCTCAGGAAGTGCTGCCGCCACCACACCTTAAATCCCATTGCTGTGACTTCCTAAATAGCTAATACCCCGCATTGCCACCTTGGTCTCTAATTCAGCTCTTGCAGGTGGGATAGGAAATGGCCATTATCCTCACCTTCTGCCCTCTTTCATCTCACCTAGATTTTTTCAAGGTTGATGTGATTTCCAGTTCCTAGCTATGAATGGATGGACTCAGCACTCAGAGAAGACCTCAAAAGGGATGTAAAGAATAGACACTGACATGAGGAACAGACATAGACAAAGAGAAAGCAGACTCTGTTCACCATGAACCAACATGAGGATAGATATTCTCCTTCTGGGCTGCTGGCCACTCTGTAGATGAGCTACTGGTACCTCTGTGACTCTCCATGTCCTGTGCGGTGCACACGTGCTTGTTGCAATATGCATGGACTGAAAGTCAGGAAGTTTGGTGACGGCTCCTAAGCCTGCCTGCTTCTCAGTCCAGCCCTATGATCCTGAATGGCATTAGATGGCTCTAGGAGGTGGTGGTTCTGGAGATGTGTGACTAACCTTGCTGTCCGTTGTTGGAGACTCCTTCTCCTTCTCTGCATGCTGCAGTTTTCTGTTCAGGTCTTGGAACATGTCTTGGTGACGTTTTCTTGTGTGCATGATTTTCTGAAGCAAACACAAGGGCCACAGGTTAGCAATCGCTTTCCAGCTGCACAGAATTAGCATATCCTCCTCCTCAAAAAAAAAAAAATTACTTATTTTCTTACAACCTAACTCTGTCTCTCCGCATGTACAGCCTACCTAAATCAGCGTCAAAGGTCACTGAGAACACAACATAACACTTCCTTGAGTTTCAGGATGAGATGGCGGAAGAAAGTGGGACAAGTCTGATTGTTGACCTTACGGTTCCTCCAAACCTGCAGTTGCCAACTGTAATATTTGTGCTTGACTTACAATGGTCTACCACCTTGACCCTAGAAGCTTTGCTGACTTTCCATAAATGACACTTGACCCCATGCTTACTCTCTTCTCAATTTGTCTCCCTTACAAATGTGTTCAGAGCTTACCTGGGCATGCAGAATTTAGGGACAAGAAGTTCCATCAGAAACTATTCTGCAGACTATCTCACAAAACTATCACAATTTCCTTTTCTTGCATTTTGGCCCTTCTACATTTCACTTCTACCCTTTACTGCCCAGAAGGAGAGGCAGGACCAATTTTTGTAAGGACTTCCCTTTGCATGTAAGAGCATGGTGAAGACAATTTTCATGTACTCTACCAAGTGTTACATAACTGGAGAAGGTAGCTCTGATGTTTTGGGAGCAACACAAAATATCCGCTTAGATGTACTGAGCGCCTCAGTTTCAGACCAAGCTCACAGCCCTGACTTTCGAAGATAGACTAGTGACCCTAGCATTAAGGTAACTCCTCAGGTGTGAAGACAGTTATTCCTCCATGTGTACAGGGTAGACAGATACTTCTTTCTCTTGAGCAGATTTTGTGAGGTTCATCACTGGCTGTGAGGCACTAGGGCTGATGATGGGTTGTGACGGTGGGGACACATTAGCAGCCTTTTATTTTTTAAGTAACAGAGTTTGGGTACAAAAGACAAGATATTTTAGCCCACCAAGCAAATGATGGACTGTGCTTCCCACGGAGGAATGTGGTACAGCTACCTGTAGTACTCTATCAGCTCGTAAGCATTTTGCTAACAGAGGAAACTGTTTACAGGCCTTGTGTAAACTCACTTAGGTCAAATGTTTATAGGGCAGCTACTGCTCAACCAATTAAGCAAGAAGCAATATAAATCACCCATTTATTTAGTGCACAGGGCAGGCCTTACTAGGCAGCCAGCACAACTCTTACCACCCACCATTTCAAACCCTTGAAGTAGCTCTTTGGCAAAGGCAGCAAAAGGGGTTAGAAAAGAAAGGAATATTCCTCTTTCTCACCCTGCCCCTTAAAAAACACACTCAAAAAAGAAAGCACTCACCTCAAAATCTAGCTCTGCATACCGGGATTTCCGCCTCTGGGGATTCAGAAGAAAAATAGAGATGGTTGAATATTAGTGATGCTGGTGGCTAGGCGCAGATTGAACTGCACAGTAGATACAACAGGAAAGGCCTCTCTCCCTTTCCTTCTTTTTGTATCTTTAATGTGTTTCTCTGGCTCTTCACGATGGAAAGGACCAGCCAGTTAGAGGGATCTCTGGTGTTACCCACTGAGTGAAGCTGGAGATGGCTATTACTGACGAAAAACACTGGGCCCCAGGGAGGGCTGGGCATGGCCATGGCCATGGGCACTTGCCAGCATGGGAGTTTGTCTGATTCAAGCCCTATCTTAGTTATGAGTTTGCAGGTGATTCACGGAATGGGAAGCAAGCAGCAGCGACACAGAGCGGCTCAGCCAACTATTCTACTTAAACTTTTGAGCAGCAGGCAGCAAAGTCTGAACAGCAGTGGCTGAGAACTACTTTCTGACAAAGGGTAAAAAAAAAAAAGGCCAGATGCTGAGGAAGTGCAAAAACTAATAGAGACATAAGTGTAAGATCTATGGACTTGGAAGAACTGCTAGTATACGTAATAAGTTATTGTAAGTCAGAAGAAGAGGGCTATATTTATGCAAAACCTCTGACATCCCTTTGACACTAAGAGAGTTGTGGGGCATGCCTTAAGGACATTTTAGACCCATGATCATTAGGATTTGTATCTCACTTATATTGTGACTAAAATTATCAAAACGGAAAACAGGGGCAGAAGATGGAAGGAGAGGAGGTAATGCAAACCATGCATTAAAATCAACAGATGTTTGACAAGCTAAAATATGTATTTGGCTTTGCATTGACTGTAGGGCTAAAGAGAGTTCACCAAGCAATGGAATATGGCTGTGGAAGTCATGAAAGATTTTAACCATGAAATTACAAAATCATATCACCTGCCATGGTTTCCTCATGGTATTATAATATTGGCACTACAGAGTGGCCTGCATTTGGCCTAAGGCTCTTCCCATATCTGATGTGACCAGTGCTGATGGCAGAATATCATCCAAGGCTGAGAAGAAGGCAGTAACTCACATGCTTACCTCCAACGAGCTCATGGAGAGGGTGGAGACGGTCTCACTTTTGGACACCACACCCGAGTTCCCTGAGTCACCTGTGTCACACAGGCTGTTGGGAATCTGTGCCTCATTGGAGATATTCTGTGGAGGCAGCTGCTGCTGCTGTTGTATCATGGGGGAACCTTGCACCTCACTGCATGTCATGGTTATGGGCTCCCGTGGAGGACTCTTGACAACAAAGCCTGGGTCAGTTGCCATACTCAGGTGGATGAGTCGTGTCTGGGGCATTTGGTCAATATTGATGCTGTATTTGCTCTCATCCTTGGGTGGTTTGGCCCGTAAAGTGGATGTGTTGGTAGGCAGAATGACGTAGCTGGTGTCCAGTGTTTGCTCTTGTGCCCGGGAGAGTTCTGAGTCCAACTTCTTGAAGATGTCCCCATCACAGATGTAGATAGACTTGGGTGGCTGATTTTTGTCCTTCTTCAAGGTCAGTGTGTGATTGCTGAATTCATTCAGGTTGATGGCCCCCAGGTAGTGAGGTGAGCCCTGAAGATGCATCTTGGAGACATTGGCTGGAAGACTGTTAAAGTTTGATGACCCCTTCTGGTGATTCAGTTTCAATTTTTCTTCATCCTGAAGTGATGGGCGCTTCAGTGTTCCTGTGATGGTTGAGGTCCTGCAGGTGGTGATGTCTTTATTCAGCACTAGGGGGACAGAAAGTATCCTTAGCACCTCATCTAAACTTTTATTAACACATCAATACACCCACCACAGTCACACCATGCTAGCATGTTTCCTCAGCCCTCTCAGATAGAGGTAACGGTAGCAGAACAGTATCTTATACTGGATTTTTAATCCAGGTTGCTGAAGGGAAAGCTAAAGCTAGGGAGGTAACAACTTTTCCATTTTGAGAGAATTCTTAGTGCTTCAGATTTCTCATCCCAAATCACGACTAAAACAGGCCAAGTTAGGAAACCTGACTAACTGATATCATCACACTGGTAATAGCATCTTGAAAAGCAAATACATATATATGTATGCATGTATATATTTAGTATGCATAATGTATATATACATAAGATTGGCCTAAAAATGATGAGTAGAATTTTTAAAATAAAAGGATACTCTCATGTCAAAAATGATTTTGATTCAGAAACGCAACATTAACAACAATTCCAAAATGCCAATGCTTTTTTTTTTTTTATTTTTTTTTCTCCTTTTAATTCACTGAACTGCTTCAGGTTGATTTGTTCCCAGAAAGAGTTTCAGGGTCAACGAATTGGTATTTCAAGATTTCAAGACAAAGGCATATTCTATTACAAATTGCTAACTAGCTCTCCTGAAAGCTTACATTCCAGTAATCATGCTAAGCCTTTGTGAGAGTTATTTACTGTTTCTCAATTTACCTTGAGACAAAAAAAGGAGTTCCATGAACATTCCTTAATAGCAGAAGAAAACCTTAATCTGAGGACGGGGTGAACATGCCAACTAGGAGGAATATACAGGACGCACAGACACTCATTCCCACACAGTACTGTCCACAGCAAAACATGTTCCCTTTCTAGCTATAAGAATCTATTGTTCAGTTAATTTCTGATTGCAGCAAAGACCTTACAGGACTGATGACATCAGCCTTGATGTCTCCAGGGAATAGAAATCCCAGAACAGATTCTGGGACAGGGGGAAAGCGATATGGGACCAAATGCTACTTACCCAGCATTCAGCATAGGAGAAATAAATGCATCTTCCCCTTTCTCCCTCCTCAGGAAAAAAAAAAAAAGGTTCTTTTTACTTATTTTTTCCCAATGAAGCATGAGGGTAACCTGACATTATTCAGCTGCTCCATCTGTGACAGAGGCAGCACGTGCCACAGGTATCCCATTGGACTGAGGCCACTGCTGTTTTCCTGCCAACTCACACCGGGACGAATGGGTCGTGGAAGAACAAAGGCCCCGTCAAACATTAATAGAGCTGGCAAGGCAAAATTACAGGGAGACTAAATGAAATAAAAAATATTTTAAAAAGCTTTGAAACCTAAACATGCTGGGTGCAACTATGACAGCTACAATTATCTTGACGTTGCTAGAGGACGTGTCAGGATAAATTAGAGCACTACAGTGTATTCCTACCATACACTGCAGAGAGACGTTAGTGAACTCTAACCCTTAGCTTGGTATTGTCAGTAAGGTTTATTGATTCACCTCTTCTCCATGCTCACATCAGCTGCATGAAGTAGGTTTGGAGGTGTGGTAATCCTAGCAGTCTCCAAACATGGAGCAGAGTGAGCTTCCACCAAGTTGTAGACATGCTTTCAATATTGTGCCATGGACCAAATTCTACCAGGGAATTCAAGTGAAAAGGTTATGAGTGGTATCAGGCGCATCTCCAATCTGTCATAACATCAGATCTGGTGTTTCCAGGAGAAATCATGGCCAGAAACCAATAGACGGATTTATATATTTTATTAAACAAAAAAGCAAAATGCATAGGAATTCCCTTGCTGCACCATATAGAATGGTCTCCAAAATAGTGTTGATTATTAATAACCTGGCTTGAAGTGACAGCACTTTATCAAAGAGGGTTTATCTCTTCAGGCAAACATCAAAAAATTAAATAAATTGTATAGTTGTATGCTGGCAAAGGAAATGAGGCCTAGGCTGTTAGCAAGGTGCTGATCCAGGGTCTTCTGCCCTGAAGGCATGGCAAATCAGTCAGCTCCTTCCTTTCCTCTGGGAAGCTTGATTTGGGAGCAAGAAACTCAGTAGCAGATCCAGAAAGGCTCCTGCACTGCAGGAGTCTGAGGTCTGCCTTGGTTTTCAGGGCTTGTGCTCACCGGCACCACAGACTGGACTGCTGTGTGTATAGCTGGCTTTGTCCCCCAGTAAGCAGCCTGGATGTATGTTTGCTGAGCATGTGTTCAAGTCAGACCTGGTCTCATGTGCATGTCGTTCACACACAATTTTTTGGAACTGAGGTCTTCAGTGTCAAAAAGGAAGCGGAAAGACAAATGAGAAGAGGAAGACAGCTAGAAATACAATTAGAGAGTGTGAGACAGAAACAGAGAGAAAAAAATTGAGAGACCTGGAAAAGAGATAAATGGACAGAAAGAGACCATGAAATAAGAGATCACATGGATAAGTGAGACAAATATACTGTGATTGTGATAGGCATAGAGAGAGGGAGCGAGGCAGAGAGAAAGACATAGATAGATATTAGATAGATAAATGATAGTGACAGTGATAGACAATACACAGAAACACAGTGACAGAGATAAATGTTGATAGAGATAGAAACACATAAATAACAGCTACAGTAGGACAGACGTCTGAGGACAGAGATAAATAAGTGATTGCTAGATAGGGAGAAACAGATAAATTATAGATAAATACATTAGAAGCATATAAATAAATGATAGATTAGATGAAGAAAAAGATAAATGAAAGGGATAGGCAGATAGATGTATATAAAAAGAGAGACAAAGAGAAAGGGAGGGAGGGAGAAAGAGAGAGAGAGAAAAAGAGAAGGAGAAAAAAGAAAAATGAAAAAAGAAAGAGAAGAAAGAAAGGAAGGAAGAAAGAAAGAAAGAAAGAAAGAGGAAGATAGAGGGGGAAAAAAAACCTTTCACATCATACTAACTACACACAAAATATGTCCTGTCCTTAGTTAGGGAAGATCCTGGTTTGGAAGATGTGAATTTTATGCAAGTGCCAAGCAAGCTGGAATTACTCTTGCTTGGGAAAGGAGAGCAGTCTGAGAGGATAAAAGTAAGCCTAAATATCTACAAAGGGTAAGATTAATATCAGCCAAGTGGTCAAGCGTGCCAGGACCAGGACAGGATGAAACCTGCAAAGACGAACAGGTAGCAAAGCGGACTCTAGACAGCACAAACACCTGCAAGGGCATGGGAGGGAGCAAAGACAGTTCTTAGGGAAAGGGACTGTCAGCCCATGCAGATCTTCAGGATCAAAATGAATGATGTGTGTGATACAACACACAGGAGAAAGGTGCAGGCAAAGGAGAGACCTGAGCCATGTCCATAGGTACAGACACTTTATAATTGCACCTGACTTATCTAAGGGGTCAGGAGGACAATTATCCTTTCCGGAATGGGGAAAAGGTCCTCAAGATTCCAGACCTTCTCCAAGACACCTCTCTTGAGCACAGAGCTTTCTGAGGTTGGCCTTGGAAAGTAGCAGTTAAAGCAAAGAAGGATCTCAGCAGGA